AAATCGAATACGCTAAAGTACTTCGCGCTTCCTAGTTGATCGAGGATTTCCACTATGTTCGGTAGGGGGTACGCGTCCCCGATCGTTTTTTCATTCAGCGCCCGATAATCTATTACCATGCGCCAGCGTTTGTTACCTTTCGAGTCCGGTTTCTTTGGCACGATCCACAAGGGGGAGTTGTACGGTGAAGTGGATGGTTGAATGACATCGTTCTCGATGAGTTCTTGTACTTGTTTATTAATTTCCTCCTTGTGCATCGGCGGAAATCGGTATTGTTTCGTGTGGACCGCTAATTCGTCGGTTGTCGGGATTGTGTGTGTAGTGACGTCTGTGGAGTGTAATTTATCGGTGGGGAGACGGAACAAATCGTTGTAGACGTTTATGAGGTTATGTACGTGTTTAGTCTCCTCCGCATTTAAGTGTTCAAGCCGCAGCAGTGTTTTTATTTCTTCGGGACGAGATTGTGTGTTTTGTCGGGTCAACGCTGCGACGTGTTGAGGTTTTATGTCGTTATGTTTTATGAGATTGGTCCCCAGATGCCCTAGGGTTAAGGGACCGCCCTCAGTGTTTATGTGACCCGTGCGTTGGAATTTTAGGTTAAGGAGGGTGCTTTTATGACCCTTGAGATAGGATGAAGGATCCTCGAGGTTCTGTGGACAAGATTTGGAAATTTTCTCGATCTCTTGTAATCTTACCCTAGGTAAGTACAATTCGTGGTCCTTGTCGCTTATGTTAACGGCTTTCATATATACTGTGCCGTTACGATTAGTGACGATGGCATCTCCTAAGTAGATGTCTTCGTTCACATGAATTCGCGGAATATATCCTATGCTGACCTCGGGATTGCTGACTTGGAGCGAGACGGTGGCCCGCGATCTAGCCGGGATTTTTACCGTCTGAGCATCGTTAAAAGGGATTTGCGTTTGCTGCCACACGATGCAGCGCTTGGAATAATCTATCTTAGACGCGTCGCGTAAGAATTCGAATCCTAGGATTCCGCCTTGGGAAATTGGAAAGTCGTCTGGGACTAAGTGGAGGTCGATCCTGTGACCGAGGTATTTTATACTTGTCGCTCCGAGCGTTTCGATTTTATCGCTTGTAATTCCGCTAAGGAAAATAATTATGCTTTTATCGATAACGCAATCGGGGCTTAGTTGGCCTTGTTTAACCAAGTTGGGTGCCGCGCCAGTATCTATCATGAAATTCGTGTTGCGTGCTAAACCGTCCGCGGCAATGGAAACGGTGGGCGCGTGCGAAAAATCGTTCGGAGTTAGCATGGCGATTCTGGTTTCTCCAGGGCTTGCTCCGCGTTTATTAGTCGTATTGGACGATCTGTTTCCCGAGACGTTCCCGCTCGAGCCTCGTCCCTGGGCCTCGAGGGGTGAGGGGAGTTTCCCTGACGTGAGTTATTGTATTGTCTTTTCCGGCACTCCTCTATTTCGTGTCCCGGATTTTTACAGTACCTACAGTATTTGTTGTTACTGGTTCGTTCGTGTCTATTGTTCTCGGGACCCCCTCGGTTGGCGTCTTCCGTTCTGTAAGTGTTTGTCGGTCTCTGTGACTGTGTACTATTATAGGCTTTTGGAAACGGCGCGTTACTGTGCCGTGTTTGTTCGACGCGCGGCGAGTACTCGGCTCGAGTCCATCTGTTGTTAGGAGATCGTTCCGTGTTTATTTTTATGGGCGTCGAGTGGGCTAAAGGCCTTTCATTCGGATATACGTTACGTTCGTATGAACGGCGCGGAGTTTCGAATCTTTCATTGTCTAGTTCCGATCTTTTCGCGAGAATTTTGACGTGTGAAAAAGCTAGAAACGGGTCGCGATAGTGTTCTTGTCTCAATTGTATCCTATAGGCGAGTGGCAAGCCCTCGCAGAAAGATCGTGCTGTTAAGGCGTCGATTTCGTTTACTGATCCGACGGATAGCATTCCTTGCGCTCGGCGTTCCGCGTCCGTTATAGAAGATCGCAAGTCTTTTACGCGGCTAATGAAATCAAGGATATGCTCGTTTGGTTTAAGGTAAATTGTGCTCAGCTCCCCACGATACTGGTCGATGGTTTTCGGGGATCCGAAGGCTCCATTCAGGAGGTCGGCAAGTTGAGTTATCGTTTCGCACTCTTCGTCTTCTACGGCGCATATAGCTCGCCCGCGTAACTTAGTAAGAAGTAGGCGGGTTAGGTTTCGCTCGGACGATGGTGGGAATATTTCTTTAGCGCGTCTACATGCTCGTATAAATTGAGAGAGGGGGATATTTCGACCGTCGAATGGCGGGATAGTCTCAAGTGCTTCCCTGAAAGACACCCTTGGACTATCATAATTGGTTCCGTGTTGGAATGCGGGAGACGCCTGTTCGTCGAGAAAGCGTCCCGCGGTGCTGGGAATATATTGCGTAGGTATCGTATTGTTCCCGCGCATGGAGTTTATCTCCTGGCGTAATCGTTCGATTTCTTGGAGCATATGATCGCTTAAGTCGGGTTTTTCGGTTGCTACCATTGTGATGGAGTTCAAACGTTTTTCCATCTCCGTTTCTTTACTCACGAGGTTACTGCGGATGATTTCGAGGTCTTCTTCCGAAGCCCGTTTTTCGCGTTCGAACGTTTCTTTCTGCTGTTGAAGCATCTCGGATTGTTCGCGTAACCGTGCTTCCTTGGCATGTAATTGAGCGCGAAGTTCGTCTATTTCTACTTCAGTGAGCTTTTTCGTACCCGATTTCCCTCGTGTTTCCATCGCAAATATTAACTCGTATCCCACCGCTGTCACCAAATTTTGTTACGTCTCGTGGGGTCGCGGCTGCGAAAATTTGAATGCAGAGCTCGGCTTTTTCCACGAGACACGATCGCTATTACGGGTACGCGAATCTATGCGATTCTCCCCGGGGATACCCGCGATCTGAGGTTATTCGCGCTGGAACTGAGGTGATCGGATTATTGCGAGGGACCTACCTGTGACTCTACTGTAATAAAGATAGCTTCGTCGATTGCTCTATGCGAAACGTCGTTGGGGTTGCGTAAATAATCTTCGTACGTAAACTGACAAAGCTCGCACAAATCACCGATTCGCGTGAGGGTAAGTCGGAAGTTGCAGACTCCGCAATTTATTCCGATAGGTGTTCCGCCTATGATTAGAGTATGCTTCCGAATCCTTGTCCAAAGTAATTTCGAGACTCTAGGTAAGGTGGAGTAGCATGAAATGCAGAGAGCTGCCTTAGTCTCAAAATGGATGTACCCGACACCAACTTGGCAATAGAATAAGGGTTCAAACGGTACGAAGAGATTAACTTCTGGAGGAGGAGTTATACCTCTAAGGGTGAGTGGGCACATTTGTGTTTGTTGCGTAATCGAATTGATAATGCGTCATTCGCTCGTAGATCTTCGGTGAACCCGGCAGTTATCGAGAAGTTAGTAGTCGTCGGCAAAACCGTCGGTAATTGTTCAGTAAAACACTGGTAAGGTGCCAGTAAGGTGTCGATAACCCGTTGGTAAAAGAACGTATGTCGGTATATCGTCGGTAATGTCGGTAAAAGAACGTATGTTGGTATATTGTCGATAACGTCGGTAAAAGAACGTATGTTGGTATATTGTCGATAACGTCGGTAAAAGAACGTATGTCGGTATATCGTCGGTAATGTTGGTAAATCGAAAGTGTTCTCAATTGATTATTGTTTAAATGACTACCTTGTTGTACGGATTTACGAAGTTATTTTTTTTGAGACACAAGATTTTTAAGAGATTGAACTATTTGCGTTTTTCCGTGTTAGAATTCCGAGAGTGGCACCGCATGTGGTGGTCGACCCTAGTTTTATAGCCCGACCTTTTTTTTATAGCTTCCGCAGTGACGATGGAAAAGAGGAAAAATGCGTCGGAGATTTTTCTAGAATGTTCTCTTCCACGTGGTAGAAGCGTCTCTGAATTTGCTAACACGCGCGATTCCTTAGGTTAACGTGAATTTCACTTACCTTTAGTAGCACTTTCTTGATCGTGTCGGCTCGTACTTGGAGGTAGTGCGTGCGGCGAGGGTCGTTCACTGGGATGTTTGGCGGCGGCAGGCGTCGTGGTTGGAACGTTATTGGTATGCACTTCCACTGTAGGAGTTCGTCGTTGTTATTATTTTTAATGTTGAAAATGTTCTCGTATTCAGGATCGGCCTGATATTCCACTCCGAGGAATTGAGAATATTCCTCGGTCGCTGATTCGCGATAAAGTCGGTTTAGTTTTCGTAATTGATTCTTCCTTCCTGCGCGTCGCGTCTTAGGCATATTGAATTTGATGCATCCTCTGAATGATTACTCAAATAAGGAGGGTTGATATGCGGCGGACCTCACTATCAATTCCTTATTTTGGCAAATGCTGAGAATGTTAATTCTGACTGTGATGAGCGGTGGTCCGCTCCAAACACAGTTTGAATTATTCTGAATTCAAACGCCGTATGACAAATTTAAACGCTATCGTATTTTATCACGGGAGTGGAAGTTTGAAGAATACTGAACACTAGTTTTCACACATGAATACACTGATTTATTCGTATAGTAGTACAAAATTCGAGACTAAAACTTAGAATTAGAATTTAGATTTAGACTTAGAATTTAGAGTTAGAATATTATACTTAGAGTTAGAATTTTAGAATTAGAGTTAGGATTTAGAATTTGGACTTAGAGTTAGAATTTAGGAGTGCGACTATACTGTTCGGTGTCGCGCAGAGAACTGCCAAAATTCGGGACTGCTCTGAGGTCCTTCGTTTCGGCGGCTCGGGCCTGCGGCGGCCTGGAGAGGGGGAACTCTCCGGAGTAGGGGCTCTCACCGTGGTGGGAGATCCTTAGGCGCTACGAAGCGCCACGCTTAGTTTCTAGGCGGAGTTAAGCGTCATGGCCGGCTTGGCGCGCTTTTCAAATAGCGTTTAAGGAACTTGGAGTAAACGAAAAAATTTATACGGCCGGACGTGACAGGTGAGGGTTGGTCGTCCCTCGCGTACGGATGAGGTTCGTGTTCGGGGGGTGTTGCCGTACATGACCAGGGATGAGATCCTGGCGGAGGTTGCCTCTACGTGTGGTTGCTCGATTGGTGACCTCAAGGCGGGCCAGATTCGGTTTCCCTCGAAAAGAGCTGGCATTGAAACCCTGTGGCTTCGTTGTCCGGCAGGGGTAGCCAGAAAATTAGTTTTGGAGGGCATCAGGATGGGGTGGGCGAGGATGACGGTCAAGTCGTTGCCTTGCCGCTCCATCCAGTGTTACAGATGTCACGCCTTTGGACATACGTCTAATAGGTGTCCATCTGAGGAGGATAAAACCTGCCACTGTTATCGGTGTGGCAAGGAGGGACATGTGGCTGCAGTTTGTACCGCGTCGCCTTATTGTTCGGGATGTGCGAAGGCCGGCAGGTCTGCGAATCATCGTGCGGGATCTGGTGCCTGCAAGAGCAAGTTTGTTCCTCCTCGTAGGTTGGCTGGCGGTCGGGAGTCTACTCCCAGCAAACGACGGCAGGTCTCCGGGCGCCCGGATTGGGTCTCACAGGAGAGAAGCCCGGTTTTGGGTACGATCGGTAGAGTGGAGGAGAGGTTGAATGTGTCGGCTGCCTCCACCTATCCTCCGACGGAGTTGATGTCGAAATAAATGCCGTCCCTGTTCAGTGTCGTTATGTCTTTGGTCGTAGTGAGTAGCGGTGGGTGCGGGGGGTTGCCGAGGAGGGTGCCGAGAGGTGACTCTGCGGTCCCCCTGTCCCGCCAAGTCTATGTTGTAGTAGGTAGCGGTAATGGGTGTTGAGAGCCGGGGAGGTTGCCGTGAGGTGGCTCCGCGGCCTTTTCACCTACGCCAAGTTTATGTAGTCTTAGTTTTGTTTGTCCTTCGTTCATAGGTGGGAGTAACAACCCTCCCACCTTCACTGTGGTCGGCCATAGTGCCTCGTTGTTGGCCCCTAGAGGGCTGGGCCTGTGGCCCTTACTCGGTCTATGTTGTGGATGTGTACATGTCTGTCCACGTAGTTGGTGACGTCCTGTGACGTTTAAGTGTGGGGTGGGCGGCTGCGGCCGTCTCACTTTCCGGGTTCGGCTGGGAGAAGGGTGGGGGCCCCGATCCCATTGCACGTCGACTCTGGGAAGTCCGGGGGGAGCTAGTAGCCCGGCTCCCTCCGATGCCCTTAACCGGGCAAGGAAATGTCCTCTCTGGGGGGATACCTGTAGTATCCTCTCAGGGGATGTGTCCTCCAAAAAGGACGCTGGTCGGGTGTCCACCGTGATGCAATGCGTTAGCGGTTCCGCGGTGGACAACACCCATACGACCAGGGCTTCAGTCAGGTTTTAGGTCGGTACCCCGTCCGATAGTCCTTCGGGATACTACGGACGGGAATCCACCACGAAGCCTCCTGGCCCTCCCTCAGGGGTCAGGACGGCGAAGTTTGGTTTAGGCAAATTTCCTGACTTAAAAAAAAAAAAAAGGATCTCTTCGTCAGGTTAGGTTGAGAGACTATCCCTCAGGGGCACTGTGGACTCATCCCTGCAGTGTACGGGTGTCGCAATCCCGAGGTACCCGAGCTGGAGTGCGTGGTGATGGATGAATGAGGTGCGATGGGCGTGCAGGCCCTAAAAAGGACTTGTCCACTGCACTAGGTGAAGGAAAACACTGACATAACACCCGGGGGGGAGGCCCCGTTAGCTGAGTAAGGCAACCTCCTAAGGGGAAGGAAAACCCCCGACAGAAAAAACCAACTTCTTTTTTCAGATATTATGAGCGGCTCAAAAAAGGAAGAGACTGTCCTAGGGTCGGTAACTAGGAACCGGCGTGGGGGGGTGCAGGCCTGGCTCCCTCCATGTCGTCATCAGACGACAGGTCGTCCGCGGATTTGCCGGCTGGGTCCGCGGACAAGTATGTGACAGTGCCGTTGATAGAAGTAGACGACCGGCTAAAAGTGATGCAGGCCAGGTTCGAGAGTCGTGCTATCGGAGCTGATCCTCGAGATCTGGTGCTCGATATGGTGGCTCTTCTTGGCTCAAAGGAGGCTCGTTCCTTCCGTGGAAGAGAACATTACGAGAGGATGCTGGCCTTCTGCCGACTGTTCCTGGGGTGCTGTGCCACAAATTCAACCCGGTGGTGTGCGGCACATGAGTGCATCTTGGTCAACCTGGCGAGTGAGAAAGTCTTGCCTCGCCGGAGGACCGCTGGATTGGCTCTGCAGGACGAGGATAGATGGTTGGCGGAGTTTGATCTCCGGAGTTTCGTCGGGAAGAGGTGGGTGACCCGGGGTGGTGGGCCTCGGTCCTCTGACCGTGGGAGGTCGGACGACCTTTCGGCCGCCCTGGAGACCATAGAGGAGGAGCGCCTTAAGGATTCCGGTTCTCGGGATCCTGGCGGGAAGGTGGAGAAGACTCGGGGGATTCGCCGTGGGACGCGACCCACAAGGTGAGTCTGCTGGGTGACGGTGTGTCGGGCGCTGCCTCTGCCTCCCCTGGGAGGTTTGAGGGCGCGCTCGGCGTACTGGAGCCCGGTGTCTTTCATAGCCCGGTGGAAGTCTTTGACGGGGCGCAGGCCCTGTCGGATAACTGCCGGGCTTACGCGGAAGAAGTCCGGAGGCTGAAGGAGCGCGTCAGCGAGCTGGAGGCCAGCAACCGGAAGCTCTGTGAGGAGCTGGAGGTGGTGCGCGGTGCGGTGGCTCCCCTTCCTCCCTCTTCTGGGGAGAAGGAGGCGCCCCCCGCGAAGAAGAGATCGCGGCGGAGACGGGACAGAGAGGTGGTCTCTGAGCCGGAATTTTCTGGCAAGGAGACCACATCTGAGGCGCGGAGGACTCTGTTTGAGTCCTCCTCTGATGCGGTTTCGGGGGGGGATCCACACCAGCAGCTTCTAGCGCGGGTGGATCTCCTCATCGGGAAACGCGTTACCGAGGCGGTTGAGGGCCTGAAGAGGACTGTGGAGTCCCTCAGGTCCTCTTTGGTTTCCCGAGGGGAGGAGGTAGGGTCGTCTGCTTCTGTCCCCCCGGTCAAGGAGGTTTTCCCCGTCCTCTCGACGCCTGTGCGTGGGAGACGGGGTCGAGGTGCGAGGAGGGTGGTCTCCTCCTCGGGGGTTGGGTCTCCGTCCCCGTCAGTGGCTACTTCGGCTGCTGGGGGGGCTGGGGGCCTTGGGCCCCGAGGGGGTTTAGCCGAGGTTTCGCAATCGAAGCCGGTTACGCGGAGAAAAAGGGTCCCGAAAAGGCTTCGGCAGCCCGACTCAGCGGCGGTACATGTGACCTCTGTCGGCAACAAGAGGTCATATGCGGAGATCTTGCGAGAGGCCGGGGAACGTATCAGCCTGGAGGAACTCGGTATTCCTCCGCTGAACATGAGGTTCGCCGCCACTGGGGGCTTGCTCTTGCAGGTCCCTGGTGGAAACACCGGCGAAAAAGCGGATCTCCTGGCGGGTCGCATCCGTGAAGTTTTCGCGGATCGCGGGGATGTGGTGGTCTCCCGCCCCCAGAAAACCATGGATCTCCGGATCCGTGGGACTATGGGGGAGGGAATCGCCTCCCGGGATGACATTCGCGGTGCCCTAGTGTCTCTGGGGGGATGCTCGGCCGGGGATGTTCGAGTCGGAGAGATTCGGACTCCCCGGGGCTCTCCTTGGAGCACCGTGTGGGTGCGTTGCCCGGTGGCAACAGCACGCAGGGCCGTATTCGAGGGTAGGATCAAGGTGGGTTGGGGGATGTTGGGGGTGGAGCTGCTTAGCGCCCGCCCCCTTCGGTGCTTCCGCTGCCTTGAGGTGGGGCATACTCGCAATCGATGCTCGGGGAGTGTCGATCGTTCCGACCGTTGCTATCGTTGTGGCGTGTCGGGACATCGTGCGGCGGCTTGTGGCGCCACTCCCCGCTGTCCGATTTGTTCGGACAGGGGAGTGTTGGCAGCCCACTCCCTGGGGGCTCTGGGGTGCCTAAAGCCCTCAGTTTCCGGGGTGGATGGCGGGCGCCAGGCTCCGGGTCGTCCTGTTGGGGGGCGGCCTTTGGAGATCGGGGCTGCCCCGGTGGGCGCTCCTGCTGCGGAGCGCGTGCAGGCTTCGGGACCCCCTGCTGGGAAGGCTCCTGATAGTCCCGAGTGGGTGGGGGTAGACTGCAGTTTGGGGCGGAGGAGGTCACGGAGAGGTGGCTCCCCTGTGCCGGGCTGCAGCTCTGCTTCCAATGTTTAGTGTGGTTTTTGTTTTTGTCGTAGTGTGTAGCGGTGGATGCGGGGGGTTCCGGGGAGGTTGCCGTAAGGTGACTCCGTGGTCTCCCTGCTCCGCCAAGTTTATGTTTAGTAGGTAGCGGCGATGGGTGTTGAGTGTCGGGGAGGTTGCCGAAAGGTAACTCCGCGGCCTCTTCACCCACGCCAAGTTTATGTTGTGGTTTAGTGTTGTCTTTCGTTCATAGGTGGGAGTTACAACCCTCCCACCTTTATTGTGGTCGGCCTCTGTGCCTCATCGTTGGCCCTAGAGGGCTGGGTCTGTGGCCCTTATTTGGTTTTTGTTGTGGACGTGTATATGTTTGTCCACTTAGTTGGTGACGTCCCGTGACGTCTAAGTGTGGGGTGGGCGGCTGCGGCCGTCTCACTTACCGGGTTCGGCAGGGAGAGGGGTGGGGGCCCCGATCCCATAGCACGTCGACCCAGGGAAGTCCGGGGGGAGCTAGTAGCCCGGCTCCCTCCGATGCCCTTTCGGGGCAAGGGTATTGTCTTCTCCGGGGGGATGCCTGTAGTGTCCTCTCGGGGGGATGTGTCCTACCTCAGGACGCCAGTCGGGTGTCCACCGTGAAGTAATGCGTGAGCGGTTCCGCGGTGGACATAACCCATACGACCAGGGGCTTCAGTCAGGTTTTAGGTCGGTCCCCCGCCCGATAGTCCCTTGGGATACTACGGGCGGGAATCCACCACAAAGCCTCCTGACCCTCCCTCAGGGGTCAGGACGGCGAAGTTTGGTTTAGGCAAATTTCCTGACTATAAAAAAAAAAAAAAGGTTGAGAGACTATCTTCTCGGTGCACGTGCACTGAGTACGCCCCGTACAGTAGTACGTGTAAAAGTGGTTCTAAGTGCATTCTGAGTGCAAAAAACATTACTGGATTATTGTTTGTGGTGCCAAGTTTAATGGCAAATGGAGGCAAGTCGTTTAAACAATTAGTTTGTTTAAATAAGCTTCTGAAATATTCACACATGTTCTGCCTGCCTGGTGACTTTTTGACAGGTAGTTAAACTCTTGACAAGTGAATTAAAAGTGCATTAAAACTGGTCTTTTTCATTGCCAGATTATTTGTTGTGATGAACTACATCATATATATAAATCTTAGACATTTCTATAAACTATTCTAGATAAAATAAGTGAAATTGTGCTGAGACTATCAATGTCTCTCTCTTACTAATAGACCTATGCCAGAAGTATATATTCTGGTCCTTAGACAATTATTACATGTGGGAAAATATTTTTAATATATTTTTACTAACATTAAGTAGTGCCTGTGAAAGTTTGCAGTGTCAGAATTGTTTAATTCTGTTAAAAACAATAGTTTTCATTTCTGACTGTCGCTGTCTCTCTTGCTCCAATGGACTTGGAGTAAAAGTTTATATTCACGGTGTTATATACTTTTCTCACATGGGAATATATTTTTAATGTATTTCTATGCCTATTT